GCCCGCCTCCCAACACCCGCACAAGCATGGCCGACGCCTACGCGGCCACCAGTCCCGCTGCCGCCGCCGAGCATGCCGGCGACGCGCACGCCCAGGCCTTCGACACAGCCGCCGGTGATAGCCTGTCCTTCGGCTACGAGCTGCGTGTGCGTCACCATCCTCCTCACGACCGGTGTTTGCTCTCCGACGCCAACCCCATCTCTCTGCCTCCCTCTCCCTCTCTCTCTCTCACCCACACGTGCTTCTCGCCTCGCCACAACCGCCACCATCACTCCCACAGGACCAGCTCGATATCATCGACCGCTATGCCCGCAACAGCATTGCCCTCATCGACGACCTGCGCGACATGGCCCAAGAGCGCGCCGAGCTGGAGAAGGATTATGCCTCGCGTCTGGAGCGCCAGGCCCGGAGCTTCGCCCGGCGCCGGCAGAAGGCCGGCCGGTCGATCCTCGGCGCCGGCTCCTCCATCTGCGCCCCTGGGTCCGACCATGCGGCCACCCCCTCCGACGATCCCGATGAGGCGAGGAGGTGCGCGCCCCCACATCCCGAACTGGCCCCGCCTTTTGGCTCGCCCCCTCTTGCACGTGCCCGAGCCTGACCCTCCCATTGTCCCGGATCTCCCGACCTAGCTCCATCGCCTCGGCCCTGGCCACTCTCCACACCCAGACCGAGGAGTCGGCCAAGGCCCGCCAGGAGCTCTCCGAGCAGATCATCAACGAGGTGGTCAACCCGCTGAAGTTCGAGTCGCGCCGCATCGAGGAGGCTCGCAACAAGCACCTCCAGTTTGCTCAGACCCTCCGCCACCTCCTGGACCAGGCCCGCGACCAGTCGGACAAGGCCCGCGACGCCTACCGCAAGCAGTCTGCCAGTGTGGACGCGGTGTACAACCAGTACGACAAGTGCCCGGACCACAACGCTGCCCAGAAGGTGTGTCGCCCCCTCTCCCCCCCCCCCCCCCTCCCTCTCGCTCTTTCTTTGCGAGCAGCGTCACCACGCCGAAGGACCGGATACTGACGCCCGCTCGATGCCGGATGTCGGGCGCACGCCATCCCCCCCCCCCCCCGCAGGCCAGCACCACTTGGCCCTTCCGCACAACCTCCCCCCCGTGTCGCGGAGCATCAGCTTCACCGAGGAGGATGGCGCCACGCGGATTGTCCTCCCTCGGCATGTTCTTGCCCGGATTCGCGCTGTCCACCGGACGGCCTTGCTCCGGCCCCCCCCCCCCCCCCCCCCCCCCCGCCCCCCCCCCCCCACTCCTCCTCCCAGCTGGAGCGCGACTGGAACGAGGCCCTTCGGGAGAAGCGCGAGCGGTCCAACGAGTACCTCCTCTGCGTTGAGGCGCACAACGCCCTGCGCTTCGAGTACTACCACCACCTGTTCCCGGCCATCCTGAACAACTTCCAGGAGCTGACCGAGCACGCGGTCTGGCGTGCGCGTGAGCTGATCAACACCTTCATTGACTCGTCCAACCTGTGCATGGACACTCTCCGCAGCCAGTGCGTTTCCCCTGCTCGGTCTCCCTCGCTCTTTGTCCCTCGCTCTCGCTCTCTCTCTCTCTCTTTCCTCTACACACACATGTCCATACACATCTGTCTATACAAAAACACGCAGCTCACTGACACATGCCCCTCCGATCCGGGTCTCTGTGCTTATACAGCAACGACATTGTCACGGCTTCCGTTGCCGCCGTCGATGCCTGTGCTGATTCTCAGCTCTTCATCCGCACTGTGCGCTCTCCCCCCCCCCACACACACACACACACGCCAGGCTGACTCCCTCCCCGCTGCCGCACCCAGATCCGCAAGGACTGGATTGAGCCTCCCAACGAGGAGTTCAAGCCCTACTCCGAAACCGATGCGGCCATCCTCCACACCCAGTACCCCATGGGCACCATCCTGATGAACACCTACCTCAAGTACCAGGAGGAGCTGGACAAGGCTCAGGGTGGCATCGACGGGAAGAACCGCGAGCTGGACGGGCTGCGCACCCTCTACGAGTCCTACTACTCCAATCCCTCCTTCGGTGATGCTGTCAAGGTTCGCCAGGACATCATTGCCGAGGAGCGCTCGATTGCCCTCTTCCGCGTGCCGCAGGTGAAGATCGCCGCACAGAAGGCCATGATTGACCATGCCTTTGGTCCGGAGATCCTCGGCCAAATCCGGCCGCACGCTTGGAAGTCCTCCTCCAAGGGCAGCTGCCCGGCCTGTGGCAGCGGCCTGTCTCTCTTCAACAAGGGCCACTCCTGCACGTCGTGCAATGTGGCCGCCCACTCCAAGTGCCAGATCCGCCTGCCGCCCATGTGTGGCGCCGACATCGAGTCCCAGATGAAGCGCGAGACCGAAACCCCTCGGCCGTCCGGCGCCGCCGGCGCGGTGTCTCGCATCAATGCCAACAGCGGCGCCAGTCGCCCGGTGTCCATGATGTCGCAGGCATCCTCCTCCGGGGGCAGCATGCGCTCCACTTCCGGCCTGAGCCTGGGCGTGTCGCCCGGCGGCGGGTCCGGTGGGTCTCCCTTCCCCAACAGCCCGCTTGGTGCCCAGTCGCCGGTTGTGGCCGGTGGCTCGGCCACCGCCGGCGGCTCGGCCCACCTTCACAGCGCCAAGGTTCTGTTCGACTTCAGCGGGTCCGGCTCCGACGAGCTTACCGTCAAGACCGGCGACGAGGTCCAGGTGATCCTGGCCTCGGATCCCTCCTTTGCCGAGGCGGATGAGGGATGGTTCCATGTCATCCACCAGGGCATTCGCGGGCTCATCCCCATCGCCTACACGGACTTCGACGCGGCCCTCCTGCATGCGGCCCCGGCTCCCGCTGCTGCTGCTGCCGCTGCTCCTGTTGGCGTGGCTTCCCCAGTTGCTGCCACCCCGGCTGGCGATGGCTCCACCGGCGCCACCTACCTCTTCCAGGGTACGCGTCCTTCATCGTGCCATGCTCAGCCGCGCCTGCATACCTTTCCCATGCCATTTCCATCGACTATGCCTCTGCGAGAGGAAAAGCCCCTCCCCATCGCTGACCCACGCCCTTTGTTGAACCCCCCACCCGTTGCAGCCCGCGCCCTGTATGACTACAGTGGCGGGAGTGAGCAGGAGCTCTCCCTCACCGAGGGGAGCATCATCAATGTCATCTCGACCGACCAGGATGGCTCTGGCTGGTGGATGGGTGAGCTGAATGGCAAGGTCGGTGAGTTCCCCGGCAACTACATTGAGCGCATCGACTGAGCGCGTGCACGCACGTGTACGCGCTGGTGGCCAGCCCGCTCGTGTGCATGTTCCCCTCTCCCCCTCCCCCTCCCTTTGTGCTGCACCCATGTGTGTGTGTGTGTATATGGCGACTCTCTAGCAAGAGCTGCTGGCTGGCCTCTGCTGCTGTCCCACGCCACCCACCTACACGCACATGCCACGGAACACCAATCCTCGCCCTTTTTTTCTTAATACATATACCCCCCTCCCCCCTCCACACAGACACATGCACACAGACACACACACACACACACACCTCCCTCCTATTTCGGCTTCTCCCCTGCATGCAGCTCCCTCCAGTACCCAGGACCAAGCATCGTCCCAGCACAGGGATAGGGCGACTCGCCTCCACGCACCCGGGCGATGTAGGGGCGGGGCGCGGGCCGGGGGACCGGGGATGTGCCTCCAGCGAAGCGGATAAAGTAGAACCGTGCCAGAACTGTCGGTGTGTTAACTGATCACTCGAAATTGAACGTCTCGCAAGGAACGGTTAATTGTCGTCTACCCCGGCATCCGTCGGCATCTAACCCATCCTCATGGTTCATCCTGCCGGGGGATGCGCGGACAAACGAGCCGGAAGGACAGCCGAACCGAAGCACACGCGTTCCCTACGCACGCGCGGTTCCCTCCCTCCCTTTTCCCCCTCCAGACCTGGCAATCGGGGCGGCGATGGTGCTGGATGCAACGCACAGGGGGGGGAGACTTCTTTTTTTTCTTTTTTTTTGCCGGACCACACTCGGCGATGGCTGGTAGGCCCCTTCCCCACCCCAAGTCACGGCCTCCGCAACCACCACCACCCGCTCCTACGCCCCCCCCCCCTTTCCTCTTTCCCCCCTTTCCCGTACTCTCTCCGCCCGCGGCCACGCCTCGACACCATGCGCCTCACCCTCGCTCGGATCTCCGAGATCGCTGGGCAAGATCCCCGGGAGATGACCTCCTTCGCCTCGCGTGACAGTGGGATCACTGGTGCGCTTCACTCGGCCGCCGAGAGCCCTTCCCCCTGCACCCTGCCCCGTTTCAAACTGTCCACTGACGCCCGAGGCATTGCTCCTGTCGCTGGCAGAACTGGACGATCTGAGTCCCTGTGTCAATATGGTCCGGATCGACCTGACCAAGAATGCCATCAAAGATCTTTCTGGGCTGGCACACAACTATCACCTGTCGGTGATTTACGCTAGTTTCAACCAGATTGAGGATATGTCCGATCTGGCGAAGCTGAAGTCCGCCCGCGGTGCGTCCCCCCAGCCGCCGCCGCCGCCGCCGCCGCCGCCGCCGCCGCCGCCGCTGCCACCACCGCCACCACCGCCACCACCGCATCGAAGCCGTGCACTGACACATGCCCCTCGCCAGTCATTCACCTTGGAGGCAACAACATTACCACCATCTCCGGTCTGGAGAACTTGACCGAGCTGCGGGCATTGGTTCTCAACAACAATCGCATTACCCGCGCCGAGGGGTTCGGCCATCTGCCGCACCTGAACACCATTGGTTCGTTCTGCCCACTTCCCCCCCTCTCCCCTCTCGAGCCGCCGCAATGGACTTACCTCCCCCTCCCCCTTTCCAGTTCTCTCGCACAACCCACTGAGCATGCCGCCGGTCATTCGCTCTTTCCCGAAGACCCTGACCAAGCTGGCCCTCGCCAACACCGGGCTGCGCGCGGTGCCGGAAGACCTGGGCAAGCACCTACCGGAGCTGCAAGAGCTGTCCCTCAATGGCAACAAGATTCTGTCGATCGGTGACGCCCTCACCGGCTGTGGCCGGTATGCACATGCATGCTCCCTGCTCCCTCCCCCCTCCCCCCTCCCCCCTCCCCCCTCCCCCCCTGCCCCGCCTCCCTGCTTGGGTCGTGCTACAAACTGACGACCGGATGTCTGCTCTCCACTCTCCCTCTTCACCCCCTCGTCGATAGCCTCCGCGTCCTGGATCTCGGCAACAATCTCCTTCACACCTTGGAGTACGTTCCCCTGCCAGCAACCGGCCCTTGTACCGAGTCCTCTCCCGCCTGTATCCCCCCCCCCCCCCCCGCTTTGCCCCGCGCCCTAACACATATCCACAGGACACTTGTCTCGCTGAAGGAACTCTCAGCCCTATCCAACCTCAACATCCGGGGCAACCCTTTCAAGGAGGCCCCAGAGTCGGAACAGAAGTCAGCCGCCGACGAAGCGACGGAGACCGCGAGTCCTGCGGAGGGCGACGCCGATGCATCGGAAACGGCCGACGAGCCGAACACCGCGACCGACACCAAGTCCACCCCCACCCCCACCGCCCTTCCGTGGTATACGCAGTTTGTCACGGCCAACGTTTGCCCTGGCCTGCGGATTCTTGACGGGCGTCGCTTCGATCCGGGCTTCCTGGACCGTCGCCGTAAGCGGACCCTCCTCGCCCAGAAGCGCAAAGACCCGGCCGCCTTCAAGGAGGTGACGAAGAAGCTGGCCAAGCAGGATGCTGCTCCCGCCGAGGGGGACAACAAGAAGGAGCCTGGGATGCCGAAGCGGGATGTCGACCGCGCCGCCGATCGCCCGGCATCCAAGGGTGGTCGCTTTGAGGGGAAGCGCTCGCGTGAGCAGGGTGGCCCCTCGGATCGGCCGGAAAAGCGCTCGCGCTTCCAGCGGCCGGGGCAGCCGCAGCGCCCGCCTCGCTCGGATGGCGACGAGCAGCCGCCGAAGCCTTCGAAGCCCGCCTTCGGCAAGAGCAAGATGTTCTCCAGTGAGCCGGTCACCAGCGGGGCCGCTCGTGAGTATGGCACTCGGCAGCCGAAGCGCCCTCCGTTCCACAAGAAGCCCGGCTCCTTCCAGCCGAAGCGGGCCAACTGAGACCCATTTTTCGGCGGAAAAAAAGGGAAGATGCGCCCACGGCCTCTCCTCTTGGCAAGCAAAATAGACAACACACATAGCCAGTCAGGGGAGCACCCGATGCACGGGCAGTGGCCACACACACACACACATGCGCGCAGAAACCCACACAGGTGTATGTAAACACCCATGCTGTCCGCAGCTTGGCACATGACAAGGGGGGGGGGGCAGGAAGATATTTGTAAAAAGCAGAATCTAGTTTAGGGAGGAGGAGAAAAGGGACAAGGACATGTGGGGCCATGGCGGCTTGGGTGGTGAAGCGGTAGCGGTAGCGGTAGTGGTGGCGGTGGCGGTGGTGGTGACGGTGGCGGCGGCAACGACGACGACGACGACGATCATGACATGCTATGCCGAAGACGGATCGGCCAGGCGCTCTGAATAGAGAGAGAGAGAGAGAGAGAGGGATATGTGCGCGCACACTCGCATGCACACCCGCACACGCGCACATACATACACAGACACACACTCACGCGCACACGGGGGGAGGCGAGGGGAGGGGGGGGGGGAGAGAGAGATCGCCACTTAGCGGGAAGAGGTGGTGGTAAGGGCCATGGAGTCACCGGCATCTTGCTCGAAGAGGTCGGCCACCGAGTAGGTGCTGGCATTCTTGACGTCCTCCGGGTCGCGGAGGTACATGTGGGACTGGAACTCCTTGTGGACAAAGGGAGCCTTGGGCTCGTGATGGGGCCGAGGACCCAGGCCCTTGAGGGCACGCCGGCGGTTGACGCTCATTGGCTGGTTCAGGTGGCCGAGGGCCGAGTCCACGTCGAGGCCGAGGCGGCGCTTGTGGTTGAATTCGGTGCGGTTGGCGCGGTACTGGTTGTACTGCTCGGTGTTGGTGTGGGGCACGACCTCGACCTCGAGCATCTCCTTGCACTTCATGATCATACCGGAGATGGAGGGAGTGGCCGTGCGCAGGACGGTGTGGTTGGTGTGGCGCAGGCCGAGGGCGCGGATGGTATCGCGAGTGCCCTTGGGGGTACCTGGTATGTGCGCGTGGATGGACGGGGTGATGAGAATGGGGCGACAGACAGGAGGGATTGGGTGATGAAGAGGAGAGGGGGAGGGCGGGCGACGTACCGATGACACTCCGGCGGAGAGTGATCTTAAAGGACTGAAGGGCGGCCGTGGCAGCGGGAGCGCTCATGGTGACGGAGGAGGCGGAGGCGGGGACGATGAGGGGCGAGATCCCAAGGGAGGGCCGCTGACACAAGGGGAAAGGCGAAGAGGCAAAGCGCAGGGGGGGGGGGAGAGAGAGAGAAAGAGGGATGGAGGGTGGTGAGGTGAGTGCCAGCGGCTGTCGAGGGGCAGATCGTGGCCTTTCAGTAGTCCCCAAGGAAGGGGGGGGGACCAACCGAGAGGGGAAGTGCGCGGCTGTTGGCGAGGGGTGCGGTGACGTGAGGGGGACAGGCTCAGGGCGTGAGTCTGCCAGACAGACCTCGGGGAACTGTTGTCCCAGCCCCGGTGCAGCTGGTGCGCTTGGCTGGGAGCGTGCAAAGGGGAACTCGAAAAGCAGGATCAGCCATGAGAGTGCCGTGAAATGGTATTTCTCGGGGTCGTGAGCACGGCGCGTGTTCAGAATCACGCCAGAGGCCACCTACCCAAGCCAATCATAGGGTGAATGCTGACGGTAATATATAATGACTGATAATACTTGGTTAGCTCTTTTACAACGCCCGCACGAAAGACCTCGCCCTTTTTCCGACTCGGTGATTTGTGAGACGTCTTTCGACATGTTGTTGCCTGAAGGTGGCCAGACAAAGTTCGGGCCATTTTGGGAATTTCCGGACGGAGTTCCGGTCTCCCTGGGGGGGGGGGGGGGCGGAGACTGGTGGCCGCTCAGGGTGTTTGTTTCCTGATCCCCTGTTCAGCACCTCCCTGGAGGGGGCGACCTCGGGGATGTCTGTGCCAGCACTTGGTGTGTGTTGGGCCCCTGCCCACCCCTTTGGGGACCCAGGGATGTGGGGTTATTTTTTCTGGAGCGTCTCCGCGTTGCCCGGCATATGCGCTTGTTTCGGGTATGCGATGTCCTGCCCGGTGGGGCGGGAGGGAGGATGCTGTGTGTGGGGGGCTGCTGTGTCCCACCGGGGTAGGGAGGGGCCTTTCAGAGGCCTTCTCCGGGGAGCTGGCTCCGGGCGAGGGAGGGATGATCGCCGGGCGTTCCGTCGCGCAGTGGCGGGCCCCCAGGGGACGCGCTGCGCCCTGGGAGGCGACGGGCGCGTGAGTCCGCTCCCGACAGAGCCCGGCCATCCCGAATATGCCCGGCGGGGGGGCGGGGCAGAGACAACGGTGCTTTTGCCTCCCTCTCCGATGTGGACATACGTTGGCTGAGTTGTGTCCTTCGGGCCATCGGGGAGCGGGGGGGGCGGGGGGGTGGGGGCCTGTTTGCGGGGGCGGGGGGGGTGTGGGCTCTCTCGCGCTCCGCGCCCGCCCCCCGCCCCGATGTCCCGGCCCACTGGGCTTGGTTATGTCGGCCGACCCCCCTCTCGCCGCGCCAAGTCTGCCCGGCCGGCCGGGCGCCGCCTGTGGGTGGTGGTGCCCACTCGGATCTCCTCTCTCCGCCAGCCTGTGGGTCCGCATTTGTCGGGCGACGGTGGTGGTGGTGGTGGTGGTGGTGGTGGTGGTGGTGCGGCGGTGTGGCGCGTCCCACGGTTTCATGGGAGAACACCAGTCTTGTTAGTGAGCGCGCAGGGGGAGGGGTGGCGGCGGCGGCGGCGGCGGCGGCGGGGTGTGGCGGCTTTTTTCAGGACCCGGACCGCTGGCCTCCCCTTGCAGGGGGGGTCCTCTTCTTCTTTTCTGATTTGATTTGTCCATATCATTAGCAAAGAAGTTTCTCAAGATGGTATGCACGCCATTCTCTCCTCCCCCCCCCTCCTCCTCCCTCTCCTTTCCTTTGTTCCGCCTTCTTCCTCGCCCCCCCCCCCCCGTGTCACCATCCGTGTCCCGCTCATGGTCACACCTGTCGTGGCGTTGCCGTGCGCGCGCGCGTTGCCGGAGAGAGGCGTATCTCCGCAAGCGCACGCGCGGGCGCGCCATGACCCCGCCTCCCCTCTCATCTCCGGGGCGCGCGCACGCGCGCTGTGTCCACGCACACTCCGTGTCCTGGCTGCCTCTCTCCGCGCCCCCCCTCCATCGGAACGCTCGTCCCCCACCTCGCTCCCTTTTCCGGTCCTACTCATGCTCGGGGCCCTTCGTGTGCGGTTTGCGATCGCCCTCCCCTCTCTCCCCCCTTTCCTATTGCGCCTGGCGAGGCACACTTGAGCCGCGGCTGCTCGCCGGGTTGACGTCGGATGTTGTGTGCATCCGACACGGTCTCCCGCTTCTGGAGGTGGTTTCGCTCACTGGCGAGAGAGAGGGAGGGCTATCGTCGTGCACTCGGCTCGCTGCGGCCCGGATAGTGACCCGAGGGAGAGGTGGTGCCGTCGTTCTAGCGTTGGATGCGCGGCGGTTTTTGCCGGGATCTCCTCTCCTTTGGCGGAGGCTCCAATGTCGCTGCCAATCCCCTCTCCCCGCCTGGATCGACTTGCCATTTGCTGACCATCGTCCCGTCTCGTTTGCCTCCTTCTCCATCCCTCAGACCGTCAAGCGTCGTAACAACGGCCGTTCCAAGAACAACCGTGGCCACGTCAAGCCCATCCGCTGCTCCAACTGCGCTCGCTGCGTCCCCAAGGTACGCCCTTTCTCCCCCTCCCTTTGCGGCTTTCCCCCGTCTCTCTCTCTCTCTATGTGTCGTGTGTGTGTGTGCAGAGAGGAGAGCAGGCCCGTTCGCGCCGCCGTAATGGGTGTCTCTTCTCCTTTCTGCGGACATTGTGTGTTGTGTATCTCCTCCTATTCGTTGATGATCCTCTTTGGAATTACCGTCTGAAGTGCTGAAGACATCTTCTTTCTGGTTGGCCCCAGGTTTTCTGAGAATATTCGCCTCGCGCGAGAGGGTTGCCCCTTCCCGGCCCGTCTCTGCCTTCTTCCTTGTCGCCCTCTCTCTAACACTCTCTCTCCTCACTTGCTTGCTCCCCCGCGCCTGCTTCTTCCCCTCTCCGGCTTACCGCCTTTTAGGACAAGGCCATCAAGCGCTTCATGGTCCGCAACATGGTTGAGCAGGCCGCTATCCGTGATATTGAGGAGGCTTCCGTCTACGAGTGTGCGTCGCTGTCTCTTTCCCTCCTCCTTGTGGTGTACCCTGCCTCCGGGGGGGGGTTTCACGCCTTCGCCGCTCCCTTTGCTCCCCCCTCGCTTTGCCTGTCTAACTCCCTCTCTCTCTCTCTCTCTCTCGCCGCTCCCTCTTTCAGCCTACGCCATCCCCAAGCTTTACATCAAGATGCAGTACTGCATTTCTTGCGCCATCCACTCCCACGTCGTCCGTGTCCGCTCTCACGCCGACCGCAAGATCCGCACCCCCCCTGCTCGCCCCCGCTTCAAGGACGGCAAGAAGGTCGCCCCCCGCAAGGTCGCCGTCTAAATTTGTTTGACGCGCCGTCTTTGCCATTCAGCCATCCATCCTCGTCTCTCTTCTTGCGATGATGCTGCTACAATGAGTGTGTATTGTAGCTTCCGGACCCGGCACTCTCTCCCCCTCCGTCTCCTTCCCCCTCCCCGGAGGACGTTTTGCCACCCGGTATTTTCGCGGCTGCGCATGGGCCACGCTCTCCCTCTCTCTCTCCCTCCTCCCCCTCACCCCGTTGTGTGCGGGCGGGTGCGTGCGTGTGGATCGTGGGCCTGCCGCGGGAGCACACATGACTCTTGTAACCTTTATAAACGCATGACTAGCTTCATACTCCCTTCTCCTGCATGTGTGTGTGTTCTCGTTCCGTCCTTTCCTCCTCCTCTCGCCTTCTCTCGCGCCATTGCGGGCGGCAGTGCGCGCCCCGACATGCGTCCCGGTGTGAAGAGGAGGGCTCCCCTTTTCTTTCCCAGCGGGCGAGGAGAGAGAGCGAGGCAAGACCCGGGAGCAGGAGGGGCGAGGATTCGCCTTTGGGCGTGCTGCTTGGTCATGCTGTTGCGCTGGGTGTGTGTGTGTGTGTGTGTGTGTGTGTCCGCGCGCGCGTGTAAGGTCCAGCCGTTTGAATGCGGCACGGTAGCCAGCTTGTTGGCCGTGTCGAATTGAGGGCTCCGAGGAGAAGACCCTCCTCCCGGCCAAAAGGCCGGCCCTCGCGTCTCCGCACCTTTCCCCGCCCACGACAAACGCAAAGGATGGAGCCCACATTGTGTGGAGGCCGAGGAGGAGAGGGCGTCCAACGCGGTTGTTCGGAGGCCCCCACCCTCAAGCCGCCTCGGTTCCGAGCGCGAGCGAGGGCTCTCCCTCGGTCCGGGCATGCCCAGTAGTCGGCCACCCTCCAGTGTCGCGAGCGGGTCTTCGTGTGCGGTCTTCTCGCCTGGTGGCTGGCCCGGACCATCGCGGACGCCCCAGCACCCTGCGCAAAGCCCTTGCGGGCATGCCGGCGGCTAGACCCGGAGAAAGCCGGGCCCGGCATTGCCGCTGCGTTGGCCGGGCCCTCCCCTGTGTGGTGGGATAATATGGGTGAGGCACGGCGCCCCTCTGTATGAAGGGGACCCCGAGCAGGGCCATATGCCAACGCCACCATCGCAGCGGGGATAGTCACGCTCATGCACACATGCCCCAGGAACACCATTCCGATCTCGAACAGATCGACCGCCGCCCTCTCGGACCGCCACGTTCAGTTTGTCACGGCCTCCCCCCCCTCCCTTTCGCTTCGCTTCGCTGGAGACGCGACCTAGCACGCCTCCGGGCCCATGATGCCGAGACGGAGATGCCGTGCATCTCCGACGGGTTGGATCCGGTCAGTTGCCCCTTCCCCGACCGACACCCAGCCAGTGGGCTGACCACCGGCAGATTGTAGAATGGCCAGATCACCGGCTGGCGTGTGTGCCTGCCTCCAGAAGGGCGTTGGTTGGGCTGCGCCCCGTCCCTGGTGACTGTCCTCCGCGGGGATTGCCGCTCTTTTTTTGGATCGCCTTTCAGTTGCTTGGAGCATGGCCCCCGGGGCAGAGCCTCCTCCTCCTCCTACCCCCCCCTCCTCCTCCTTTTCTCCTCCCCTCTGCCCATCTTCGTGCGCTTCTCCTCCTTGCCGGCGCCGACATGTCCTTCCTCTTCGGCCGCTTCTCGGCCGTTGCCGCGTCTGCCTTCTCCCAGACCCAGACCCTCCTTTCTCGCCCGGCCGCGTCTCTCAACAATCGTACGTGCTGCGGTGCTGTGCTGAGCATGGCGGCCCTTGCGGGCCGTCTTGGCGCTTGGGAGGTTTTGCGCTTCTTCCCTTTTTGGATCCAGGCTCCCCCGCCCATCGCCCCCTGCTGTCTTGTTGACTCCCTGCTCCCCTTGCTTTTTTTTTCCTCCCCCGTTGGATTCCTCCCGGCACCCAGTGATCCCGACCGTTCAGCTCCGCAATTACTCCTTTAAGACCCACTCCGCCACGAAGAAGCGCTTCCGCCTCACGGGCAACGGTACCTTCCCCCTTCCGCCTCGCGTCTTTGAATGGGCCTCCCCCCCCTCTGTGTCCCCTTCCTCCCATCGACTGACATGCTTTCCTTCCAGGGGACAAGTTCAAGTATGAGGCTGGCGGCAAGCGCCATCTGGCCACCGGCAAGAGCCGCCAGGAGGTGGGCATTCTCAAGAAGAATGTCTACACCAACAAGACCCAGACCAGCCGCATTCGGAAGTTCCTCTTCAACTCGCGGTGAGAGCACCCCGCCTGGCGCGCGATCGCCTCTCTCCCTTTGACCTCTCTCTCTCTCTCTCTCTCTCTCCCTCCCCCGCCTTGTGTTTCCTGTGTGCAGGGCCCGGTGCATGCGTGGCCCCAGGCCCCCCGAGCCGCTTACCTCAGAATAGAATATCCTTTTTTTCTCCAGCCCCAGCACGGGACATATGCTGGCATTTGTGCCTCTCCCACAGAGGGTGTGTCTATATGTCTAGTTCCAGCTCACTCGTTCGATCGTTCGCTCGGGGAAGCAGTGGAAGTGCGGGTGGATGACCGTGGGGGAGGGGGGGGGGGGGGGATCCCATCACTCGGCCGACGGACCGCCAGTGCCAATGTCATTGGGGAAGAGACCATCCTTGCCGATGATCTCGTCAATGTTGAAGTCCTGCGGGGCTTCGCAGAAGCGCCGGAGAACCTGCTCGCCCTCCGGCGTACCGAAGGCCTTGAGGACCGAGGCGAAGAGGGACTGCGCCGCGCCGAGGGTGATGCGCTTCGGCTCGAAGTCCACCCGATAGAGGCCCAGACCGGAGGGCGTGGCATTGGCCTCGCCGCCGGTCCAGTTGATCAGATCACCAAACACCTCGGCCACCAGGGCCGGCTGGGCCTCGCTGCCGCGGGTACGGTACTCCAGCAGCGTGGTCAGGGCCATGCGGTTGTACTGGGCCTGGGCAAAGAAGAGCTCGATGCCCTCCTTGCGGAAGAGGGGAATGAGGAACTGGATGTGTGTACCCCGATGTGTCAGCGAAGGGCCGGGAGCGGAGATGGGGGAAGGGAGCGGGCGGCAGGGAGGATGGGGGTACGCACGTGCGGGTAGCGCGAGGCATTCTTCATCAGACGCTCGTAGGTGGCCGGGTCAAGACCCCCGCCCATGCGTGCCTGCACCAGCTCCTTGGTCGGCGTGGCCGGCGGGGCGAAGAAGTCCCCGTCGTCCGGGGTGGCAGTCACTTCGACCGGCTTTGCCAGGTGCTCGGCCCAGAGTGCCGCGATCTCCGAGGCGCTCAGGCTCTTGAGGGCATCCAGGTCAAGGATGTCGGTGAGCTGGGTTGGGGAGAGGGAGGTCACAGGCGAAGTCAGCTGAGGCCCGAAGGGCGAGAGGGGGGCGGGCAGGTGCGGCGCTAAAGTGCTGGCAGATTGGGTCGGGGGGGGGGGGGCGGCGGGGGGGCAGCGCACCTTGCGATTGAAGATCTTCGGAGGAGGAGGGGTGGCCGAGGCAGCAGCAGCCTTGGCAGGGTCTTCCTTTTTGGGCGGCGCCTTGGCCAAAAGCTCGGCGTACTTGGACTTGTAGCGATCGGAGGACTCCTTGGCATAGTCATCCAGGGAGAAGAGCGCCCCCTTTTCCGGCTGGGTGGCTGAGGAGGAGGCCGAGGAGAGCCAGCGGCTGGCAATCGGCCGGAGGCGGCCAGCGGCCAAGGGGGCAGCTCGGGGGGCGATCGGAGCCCTGGAGAGGAGGGAGAGGGCCTGGCGAGGGAGCATGGCGGCTGTGGGGGATTCGGGACAGGGAGGAGGAGGAGGAGGCGATCGGAGGGCCGGTGAGGAGGGCCGGAGGGGGGGGGGGGGCGAATCTGTCGATGAAGCGGGGGGCGGGGGAATGAAAGTCCGAGCAGGGCAGCCCAATAAATCCATCGAGGTGGGATCATGTTGTTCTCGCGAGACACATGATAACCCCCCCCAAGGGGGCATGACCTGGGCCCGCCCGGCTGGGCGCCCAGCCCCCACCAGGATGTCGGCTGCAGCAAGAAGATGCCCCCACAATCCGCCCGTGTGTCTTGAGCTGGCGGCAACGGGGCTGTAAGTCGACCATCGACCTCCCTGGTCCGGGCGCCGGACAAGGTGTCTGGTCTCTTGGGTTGGGTGGCTGATCGTCATCTGTCCGCCGTCGAGCATAGCACGCTTTTGTGTGCCCCCCTCGGGTGCCCCGTATCCGGCTCCGAGGCTTTAGGGACCGGGCCGAGCGGACCGAACGACAAAGGCCTTTGGGGGGGGGCGGGGGGGGGGGGCATGGCGCTGCTGAGGTCGTGCGGGCCATTTGTTATTTTTTCCTGGGCGTGGATGCGCGCCCCCCCCCCCACATGCCAACCATTCCCCCCGGTCGCCTCCTTGATGGTCAGAGCAGGCTCCCCGGCTTGAGACGGAGTGGCGGCTGTTTGACGGAGTCTTCGGGAGGTGTTCTCCTCGTTCCTACAGCGGGGCATCCCCCGGTGTCGCACCCGCGGGTACAAGGCGGGGGGGGGGGGGGGGGGCAACGGGCGCCCCAGGTGCCAGCTCATCTTATGGGCCCCCCTCGCCCCGGGGCTGGGGAACTTGGTGTCGGGGAGCGCTGGGCGCGACTGACTCCCCTTGTCACCCTCGGCCTCAGGGGCACATACACAAACGGTCGTCCCTCCTCGGGGCCCCGGGACTTCGTTCCTTCCTTCAACCACCACCCCATCCCCGGGGAGATGGACCATGGGCCGACGAATTTTTAACGCTGGAATTCCGTGCCCGCGCACGCATGAGGCGTGTCCCGCGACCCGCCGCCCCTGGACCTGATCTGCTTGTGGCCGACGCAGGCCCCTGGCTGGAAGGCCTTTTTCTTTTCCCTCGGCTGTGTTCCCCTGCATGGTGCTTCCCCGGGCAATCACCCCTCCCCCCCCCCCGGGGTGTCCTCCGAGTGCGCTTGGGAAGGGGACCCGGTTCCCCCTCCCCCCCGTTCCCTTGCATGAACATGCCACCCGGGCGCGGTCAAACCCATGAATGTGGAAAACCATATCCCTCGCCAGAAGTGCGCCATTTTTGCACGAATTCCTCCGGGGGCGATGGTGGTGACCTCCGTCCTTCCTGCTTTCTGGGGGCCACTGCGGGGGGGGGGGGAGAAGGAAACACCACCGTGGACAAACCAACAATTAAAGGGGACCAATATCCCACCACCCCACCAACAAATTTGCGCAGGGCTGCCGTGCCTCCCGGCTGTGCGGCGTTGGCTGCGGAGCCGCTGATCCTTCAGGCACTGTCGCTCGAGCCCGAACACGCCCCCCTCCTCAAGGCCCCCCTCCCCCCCCCCTCCCCCTGCCCCTTATCCCCCACCCCCCTTTCAAACAACACCCCCTCCTTTTTGCGTCTCTCCCCACCTCCCTTTCTCGTTTGTCGGAGTAAGCGCCCGCGTCTCGCACCCGCGTCTCGCACCTGCGTCTCCCATTCGCGCATCACAGACGCATCTCATGTCCCCCCCGTCCCTGGTCACTGCCGGTGCCGGCGACGGCTCCACCTCTGCCGGACGCGTGCGTTGTCTCCGGGCTGCCCCGATTGTCCACTAGCCTCTCGCATGGCCGACTAACCTCGCCACCTGTTTCCCCCGACCAGGTCATTGTCCACCAGGGGTACCTCGAGAAGAAGAGCAACTCCTATCGGGTATGTCTACGTTTCACTGCCTTTGCCCCCTTGACATCCCTTCCGGCCCCTGTCTCCCTGTCTTTGCCCTTTCCACCCGATGGTCTCCCCCCCCCCCCCCCCCCCCCCCGTCCCCACGCACACACATATTTGCCAGCCTTCTAACCCCTCATGTGATGGAAGAAATTCCAACGCCGGTGGTTCGTCCTCCACACGGCTCCCGGCGGGGCCGATGCGCGGCTGTCCTACTTCGAGAGTGAGGCCAAGGCTGCCGCCCTGGTGTCGGCCATGGGGTCCGGCTCGCACACCGGCGCCGGTGAGCCCCTCTCCCCCCTGGGCAGCTCCTCCTCCGCGTACAACCTGTCCAACCTGGATGACAGTGATTCCGACAGTGAGGACACCGGCAAGGATGGCGAGGGTGCCAGCGGCGGCATCCAGCTCCTGCCTATGGCTATGATTTGGCGAACCGGCCCGTCGGCTGGGCCGGGAATTCCTTCCTTCAAGCTGTCGTCCAGCACCCGGGCATCGACCGCCGCATCGACCGCTGCCACAACCTCCGGAATTGCCATCACCACCACACCGCCAGTCAACCAGAACCCCGAGCACACGGGTGTCATCCATGCCCATGGTGCCGGGTCCGGGGTGCCTTCCTTCGAGCTGGATGTCCTCGGCCGAACGTACTTCTTCCGGGCCTCGAGCGAAATGGTGCGCCTCCTTCCCCATGCCCTTTGCCTGCTCTTGTGCGCTCATCCTTACTCATCCCTCCCCCTTCTTCGCTCTTTGTCATTGTGGCTGTCCCCCCCCCCCTCTCCCCCTCTCCCTCCCCGGCCCATCAGGAAATGGATTCCTGGATTTCGGTCATTGCCCCGCTCATCCCCCAGCACCCAACCATTGCCTCGATTGCGCCGGTGCATCACCGGTCAGAGGATGTGTTCGGCACCGCCGACAAGCCGCTGGTCCTGTTCGCCGAGCTGGCTGGCAATCTGGACAAGCTGAGTGGCACTTTCAAGGTGTGTTTTGGCCTCTCTCCATTGGCGACTGATCCACTGTCCTTCCTTTGCCTTCTCTCTCTCTCTCTCTCTCTCTCCCCGCCTCTCTCTCTCTCTCTCTCTCTCCGTCTCTCTCTCTCCGTCTCTCTCTCTCTCTCCCCCCGCCTCTCTCTCTCTCTCTCTCCCCGCCTCTCTCTTTCCTTGCCCCGTCCCCCAATCTGACCCTGCTCTATCTTCCCATCCTTCCTCGATTGGGCATTGCTCTTTGTGCCCAGAACTGGAAAAGCCGCTACTTCGTGCTTCGCGGATACAAGCTCCTTTACTATGTGGACGAGTCTCTCCGAGAGCCGGTCGGGTCGATTGATTTGCACGATGCCACCCACGTGTCCATTGGCGCCCCGACCAGCAATGCCCCGAGCACCTCCGGCTCCAAGAACCTGATGCCGAGCATCCTGGGCTCCGTGCGCTTTGGTCGGTCGAAGTCCGGGTCCGGGTCCGGATCCAGCACCTCGCAGGCCCAGGTCCTGACCGTGTACACCCACAACCGCAGCTATCCCTTCCGGATTCCCTCGCCCAACTCCGGCATCGATGCCGATGTCTGGCTGTCGGCCCTGTCCGCGGCCGTGACCCGGGTTAGCCGATGCGCCGGCGAGCGTGCGCGTGTGTGGGGCATCACCTGGGACCCCAAGCGCCGGACAACCCTCTTCCTGCCAACCATCAGCACCCCGGCGCACTACCTCGCCGCCAAGGCCACCGCTTCTGATCTCAACAAGCGCAGCACCCTTACTGGCTTCAATTCCATCCGGGCTTCGACCATTGGGCTGGGTGTGTCAGCCAGTTCCCCGATCAAGGAGGCATCTTCGCCAACCTCGCCAGCTAAGGAGCCTGCGGTGTCGGCTTCGCCGGTGGTCACTTCCCCCCCGGAGCCAGTCGCCTCGGAGCCAGCCGTCCCGGAGCCAGCCGTCCCGGAGCCAACCGTCCCGGAGCCAGAAGCCGATGTCGTCTTTGCCCCTGCCGTCCAGGCCCTGGAGCCCAGCACGGCCGAGGAGGCTCCCGCAACCTCGAGTGCCGCGCCAAGCTCCGACCTCACGACCGCCCCCCTGCCGATCAAGCAGCCCACTGCTCCGGATTTCGGGCGCCAGGCCTCCAGTGACCTGGACATGCTGATTGCCTCGCTGACTCCCACCGCCGGGGCTGGTACCCCCCCACCGCCGGCCATCACCCTCCCCGTGGAGTCCCTGCGGTCCGAGCACACCAGCCAGACCATTGCTTCGCCGATTCCGGATGCCGCGCTGCCCACCCCTCCACAGAGTGCATCCCTCCTGCCTCCCCCGCATCCCCTTGGCCCGGCGGGGTCGCGCGTGTCATTTGTCGGCGGAGCGGCCCTGCCCTCGCCGCTATCGGGACCGGCTCTCACCAACGACGGGGCCTCCACTGCTGCTGGTCTGCCTCAAAAGCCGTCCTCAGTGACGGCGACATCGCCAGACGGCTACATCTCCGTGGATCCGCTGCAGAGCCTGTCCGGCAACGGCTTCGATGAGTCGCTCATTGCCCTGATCAACCCTGGTGCTGGGCCGGCTCTGCCGGCGCCGTTGCCGGCACCACTGCCTCCCGCCCTCGAGGAGGCCCAGTCGCCTGCCGAATCGACCGATCCTGCGGCCGATCCTGCGGCCGATCCTGCGGTCGACCCTGCGGCCGATCCTGCGGCCGACCCTGATGCGATTCCTGACTCCGAGGATGCCAGCGAGCTGGTCGAAGAGCCGGCCGAGGAGGTCACCGTGGAGGCCATCCCCCTGTCGGATGTGCCGACAGACGCCCTGCTGTCGCTGGTCATCCTGCAGGTGTCCCTTCGCCTGCCGGGAACTCTCTTCGATGGTGATGTCTCCTCGGTGCCCGGTGGCTCCTGCCTGGAAGTGAGCTCGTCGCATATGGATTCCCCGGCGCAGGGGTTCTTCGACTCGTTGGCTATCCCCTCGCACCTGGGTGCTTTCCCGCGGGCGGCCCTTCGCCAGACCATCCCCGATGGGGCCCTTGTCGAGGCGGACCTAACTCTGGCCTTTATGGAGCTCTGGACCCGCATCGCGTGGGGTGCGTATGGGGTTCCCTCTGCGCGGCCCTTCCTCCCCCCCCCCCCGTCGGGGGCCTGTTTGTGCTGCTTTCCTTTCGCCCCTTTCCCCTCTCCCCTCCGAGGCTGACCCCCCTATCCCTGCCACAGATCCCCAGACCTTTGCCACGTTGCTGGTGGATCATAGCACCAAGCTCGGTGAGGTGACTGGTGCCCCGGGCTGTGTGAGTTTCTTGACACAGGTGGCGCTGGCTGGGTACATCCTCCAGTGGCCGATCGCCGAGCCGGACTACCACACCCCGGCCCTGGTGGCGATCACCTTGTTGCTGATGCTCCTGGCTCGTGGGTCTCTCGGCGTCGCGGACTCGCGACTGGAGAGCCTGCTCCCGGCGTCGGCTTTCTTGGCCGTTCTGCGCCCGGTGATGTCCTTCTTCCCGGCGTGTTCCTTCCAGCCGGCCGCCCTACTTGCGACGCCCCTGACCCCGGCTACAGTGGTCATCTTCCTGGACTTGTTGCTGTCCATCGATCTGTCCGATTCCGGCGCGTCGTCGTTGGCTGAGCGTGCGTTCATCCGTCCTCTTTGCCTTTCTCATCGGGCTTTGTTTCTTCCTTTCCTTCCTTCCTCTTCTCCTCCTTCTTGTTCTTCTTCCTCTTCCCCTGTACCCACCCACTCATGTCCCTTGTTTCGGCCGCTTCCCTGTTCTTAGTCTATCCCTCGGTCACCGGGGCGGACTTCGCCCGGAGCACGGTTGCCTGCTTCCAGGCGACTTCGACCTCGGTCCGGCGCTTCACCGGGGTGGCGGCCGCCATCGAGGCTCTCGGGGCCATCTCGGCACTGCGCCTGTTGAGAGCCCTGCTTCCCCATAACTCCGACTCGGGGGAGATCCGTGCCCTGAGCACCGGGCTCGGTCAGCAGCTGTCTCCCTCGTCGCTGTCCTGGTGGTGGCTTGAGCCATCCGATCAGCTGGGCGCCCCGGCTGGCGCGGATGAGGAGGACGACGAGGAGGGGGCTCCCTGCCTGCAGGAGGCACTGGCCTCTTCGCTTGGCGCGGGCCTGCCCATTCTCTTTGGCTATTTTGCCTCGCCAACTGCTTGCATCCTGGCCACCAAGGATTTGTTCGACCCGCCATCGGCCTTCGGCAAGTTCGGCCTCGAGCTTGTTGCCTGCATCATTCGGCCGCTGTTTGATGGGGATTCCGTCCTCTCGGGCGATGTGGCCATGGATGACGTGTGTGCCGCGCTGGAGGCGGCTCTTCGCGCAAGCGTGGCCCTCTTGACGGCCTTCCCCCCGGGAGCGTCCCCAGGGGACAATTTTGCCAGCTGGCTTTTCGGAGCCATGTCCAAGCCGGCCACCGGGTCCGATCCCTCGAGCGATCCGATGTCGGCCCGGCGCAAGTGGGCTCTGGAGGCGGTATCCATCACTCGTGTGCTGGTGGCCCCGGTGCTGGTGGCCGGCGCCTTGCAGATTGGCGGCGCCACGGCTTCGGAGGACATGGACGTCTTGGCGGCCGCCCTCCAGGCCGACACGCCCCTGGTGCACCTGGTCCCAAGCGCGCTAAATGCCATCCGCCGGTCGCTTCAGCGGGCCGGGTGCCTTGAGCCGCTGGTGGACATTCTCGCCGCTCCGCCGGGCTATTGTCACATTCATGATACCACCGGTGAACTGTTGGCCCGCGCGACTGAAGCCTTGCTGTGGTTCTTGGAGGAGGGTGCGTTCTCTTTCCCGTCTCTCTCTCTCTCTCTCTCTCTCTCTCTCTCTCTCTCTCTTTCTCTCTGTCTCCATATCCTGATCAGCCCCGAGCCCTGTCTTCTCGCCTGTCTGACCCTTTTGTCCTTCCTTTCTCCTCCCTGCAATTCCATCCTCGACCCGGGCCGTTGCTCCTGCTCTTGCTGTTGCCATCGTACACAGAGCTGTCCACGCGCGAGCTGATTCGCAGCAATGCGGCCAAGTTCCTGGTTGAGCAGTTGGCCGCCTGCTCACACGCTGGCAGCGCTGCACTGGCCGACTCGCCGACCAGCGCCGCGGCCAATGTCACTCCTGCGCAGGCGGCTAACCTCTGGCGGCAGCGCCGGGTAGCTGGAGCCGCCGTGGCGGCCCTCTGCCGGCTGACATCGGCGGATGACTCGTCTCGCCAGGCGGTCCTGCGGGCTGGGCGCCACCGGCTGCTTCTGACCATGCTGTCGAATGCGGTGGCCCAGGCGCCGGTGCGCTTGGCACACCGGGACCCGGAGACCGGCTTTGGTCTTTGGGCACCGGGGCACTTCACCCTGGGCCAGGACCGGGTACCGGGCCCTGCCAATGGGGGGGACAGCCTTGGGGCTGGGTTCGCCACATGCGACACGGCCACCACCCTGTACCGGGCGGTGGAGTTGCTGGGCAACCTGGCCCACGATGCGGATCCCATTCGTTTGTTGGATGCAGCCGATGCCCCGGGGATTCTAATGACCGTCCTCGCCCGGTTCCATGGCGGACAGGCGGTTGACGGCGGCGGCGGCGGCGGCGGCGCCGAGGGTCCTGGCGACCGGGCGCCGGCCTATCGTGATGAAGAGCTGGCTCTGGCTGCGGCGGTGGCCCTGCACAATCTGTCCCTGGACCCGGTGGCTCGGGCATCGCTCCATCGTGATGGGGCCTTCGGGCCACTGGTGGCCTTGGCCTGCCTCCGGGCGGATCTCCTGCCGGAGGTGGGAACCGCCGGGGCGACCGAGGTGCCCAAGCGCGAGCGCGGTGTCTGCGCCGGGCCCAGCCCGGCACGCACCGTGCAGCGCCTGCTACTCCGTGTGTTGCTGAATGTGTGCCAGGAGCCGCAGCATCTGGTGGAGTTGTACTGCCTGGCGGCGCATGGGGCCATCGGCCGGGTGGCCGATGCGGCCACCGCCCTCCCGAACCCGGGGGATGTAGATGAGGAGTTGGCCGACATTTCCGCCGTGTCGACCTACCTCCTGGCGGCGGTGAGTGCCATTACCCCGGAGGATCTGGCCGCACATGCGGACGCCAATGAGGAGGGCGACACGCAGGAGGCCGGTGACGCGGATCTGGATGACGCGCCCGAGTCGGGCAAGGTACGTCATTGCTTTTGGCCCGTGTGCCATCGCCTCTGCTGGTGTGGGTTTCTCTTGCTCCCTCGTCCGTCTCCATTCTGACTGTCGGTCCCGTGTGCGGCTCCGCGTGTGTAGCTCTGGCTCCGACTGTCCTACAGCGGGACCACTCGCATGGCAACCATTCGCCGGCCGACCGCGGATCGGCCTCTGCGCAAGGCACATCTGGATGCGGTGGCCCGGCAGCGCTTCGGATCGGCCACGGCCGGCGTGTCGGCCGGGCGCATGGTCTTCTGGCACTGCGACTCCGAGGGAACGGAGCTGGCCATCGCGGCCGACGACGAGGCGGCCTACGTGTCGGAGATCCTGCTGGCCGGCGTGGCCGGGAGTGATGCCGATGCTCGGCTGACCTTGTCTCTGCGGTTGGCCATTCAGCCGCCAGGGGCCGGGGATTCGGACGATCCGGGGGCCCCGCCGCCCCCGTCCCTGGAGGCGGCCCCTCAGCGTGGGCGCCTGTTGGACGAGCTCCGGTTGATCTCCTCCATGGCCTCCAAGGGCGAGGAGGTGGCCACTGGTGTGATGGTTCCCCCGACCGGGGCGGTCACCTCGGCCTTTGGGCTGAAGAAGGTGGACCATGAGCAGATCGCTCGCGAGCGTGACGAGCGCCGTCGCCGCGAGAACCCGGTCGAGGCCCAACGCCAGGACATGTTGGCGTCCATCCGTCTGAAGGCCGCGCAGGCCGGCGACGGGGACCTCTCGATCACCGACGCCGCGGCTGCCGTGGGAGTGAAGCTTCGCTCGGTCGAGCGCCACGCGCCTAAGCCAGTCTCCGATCCCCACGAGAGCAGTACGTTCTGCCGCCCTTTACTATGCTCTTCCTTCCCCCGGCAAGGGAGAAGACACATGAAGCTAACCTCCCCCTCCTCTCCCCTTCTCCCCTCCTCCCCGGCAGATTCTCTGATGCTGAATGTCGAGGCAGCCCGCCGGAGGATGGCCATCGCCGACGATCGCTACCACAACTCCTCCTCGTCAGACAGTGATTCCGGTGAGGATGACTGGTAGTCTGAGGATGTGCGCTTCCCCTTTTCTCTCTCTCTCTCTCTCTCTCTCCCCCTCTTGAGGGTGGTTCCATCTCTACTCTTGTCTGTCGCTTTCCCGTGTCCCGTTTAGGCTCAGAATATACAGTTTTATGACTCCGGTGACTCGGT